TTTCTCTCCTGAAAGAGTCACATAGTGGCAATGACAAACTGCTTACAATTTAAAGTAATTATTTATTTATTTTCTGATGTTGCATACCGCACGCTGGGGCTTCTCTGGCACCTCTTCATCCTCCTCCTCATTGGAGAGGGGATCCTGTAGTAACATAGAAACAAAAGGACACAATGCCCAACATGGTCCAACTATTCTCACCACAACATTAAATCAAAGTGTTACAATAAAATTGAAGGATTTAAATTTATCTCAAGTCACTGACATAAATTCAACAGCTGTTTTAATTTTTCTTAAGGAAATAAGTCAAAGGCCAAACATAAATGATACCAATTCCAAATGTTTATCTTTTATAGTGATGGAAAATGGGTGGAGAGCCCCTCTTTTAAACTACTTGATGTTTTTGCACCTTATGTTTTTTCATCTTTTGCTTGACCGCAGCACGGATCGCATCCAGAGACTCTTCTTCCTCATCATCCAGACCATTGTCAAAAAGTTCTGTGTCACCGAGCGGACATCCACTGTCATTCAGGGTCCCAGGATGAAGCATTTCCTGAGGAAATGGGAGTAAAGCTGATTTTAGTTGCACACACATTACCCAAATTGTATGCTGTTTTTATGGCTTCAACATTTTGCACAACACACAAGATCTAAATTTTAAAACTTTGTTCAGTTTGATCTGCAGTTTAAACCTTATTATAGTGCTCGGGGAACCAAAACACAAATGCTTCCACAACAGTAGTTTGATCATCACACTGATGTGGTAGGAAGTGTTTTTTCCCCTTTCTTCCTGACAACAAAGTTCTTCCAGAAGCAGATCTGTTTACTTGGCCTAGCAGTTGGACATGCACTGAAAAGCATCATCTGACTGGGACATAAAAAAATAAATACTTTTTTTTTTTTTTTTAAATGTCAAAGGTTTCCAATTTTGAGATAAAATAATGTTTGAAAAACTAATTTTGACAACACATTTAACACAACCATTTGAGGATTTGTGAGTGCGCCATCTTTGTCTTTTTTCTGGTCACACTGACTTAAATAAAGTGATCGAAAGGCCACATGATTACATTAAAAAATCTACTTAAATGGTATATAACTTTTAACATGTAACGTACTTGACATAAAATCTTTCTTCACCTATGTAAGCGTAGTCCACTTTGCTGACAATCATTCACTTTGCGGTTCAAAAACATAATTCTACCTTTTATTGATTTTATTATTTTTAATAATATGTTATAGACCGGGCTGAGACAGTCCACAGGACGTATTATTGCCCATGTGTGTGAGAACCCTTGATGTATCAAACACCAGCCAAAAAGAGTTCAGACACTAAAGAACTCACCTCATCCCTTTCAGAGAACCTCTCCTTCTTCTTCAGCTTTTCCACCGCTTTGCTGCGCTTTTCCTTTTTCTCATGATGTCTCCTGCTCTTCTCTCTTTCCTTCACTTCTTTTGTGGATTTCACTTTCCTCTTCACCACTTTCCCCTCTTCCTCCTCCATTTTTCCACTTTTCTCCTCCTCAGGCTCACTGTCCTCGCTATCAACAGGAGCTCGGCTTATTCTCTTGCACTTCTGTCGTCCCTTTTCCTTCTTCTTGTCCTTCTCAGTCTCCATTTCCTCTCCACTGGAAGCAGATAAGACTAGTGCTTCTGCCATGTGTACGCTGCTATCTGCAGCTGCCGCCTCTTCCTCGCTGTCACTGTCTCTAATGGCATTACGGTGAGGCTTTCTGTGCACCGTGATGTCTTCGTCGTCATCAGAATCTGATAAATAAGACAGCAAAACCAACCAATTTAGAAAATTTGAATAGAGTAGAATGAAAATGGTAGAAAATGGTAGAGTGGTAATCCCAGCTCATATCAATGTGTAATGAAACAAAATACTAGAATTTGCACTAAACAGTGAGAAAAATAAATTCAAGTAGAATTTTATTCTAATGCATATTTTTGTTTAACCAAAATAAATAAATAAATGAAATAAAAATAAAAAAGGAAGACCAAAACATAAAAGGTATTTTAAAAAATGTAACGGTTAAGTCTTTTTGTAATTTAAATAAGAGATTTTCAACATGAAACAGGCCTCTGGGAGTGACTAAACAGATAAGCTGCAAGTTGAGTAGTTTGGAGACAAAGTTAAGAGACAGGTAAAGCAAACTTAATGTGGTTAAAGTGGGAGAGTGGACATATTGGTCACAAAATAAAAAAAGGGGGAAATGGAGCTTCAAGGCAGGAGAAAAAGCAGAAGTCAAAAACAACATATGTCCTCAGAGAGTGGTTTGGCTCACAGCCCTGATGAAATTTCTTTGATGGAAGAGAAAAAACATCTTCAGTGAGCACCAAGAGTTCTTATATGCAGGACAATTATATACAGAACACCTTGATATAAACCCTTCTGAAGAAAAACAAATATGAGTCCAGGGAGAGTGAAATACTTCATTATTAAAGTATTTATACTATTTCCTACAGAATTTCCCTTGGACTGATACGTTACTCTTTGCCTTTATTATTTTTCAAATAAATTTGGTCCTTTGGAAACTGGACATCTTTTAGATACTGGTTTGCTTTCATTTATAACCTTTGAATGTATATTTTCTAAAGCACTGCAGCTTTGATTCTTTGGTCAGACTGGCTCGTTATGATAACTAGTGTTTCTCTGCCTACTCTGGTGTCACAGGCAGTTGCATAAATGCATACCTCATTTACACAGCCAGAGTGGCTCATTGTTATGCTGCTTTACCTGAACGACCTTCTCTTTTGTTAGAGGTGTCTGTAGCCATCTCCTCTGCTGGTGAGCCCACCCCGCTGTCTGAATCACTCTCTGTTGCAGTCTGGGCCACCACTGGGAGTGCCTCAGCCTGCATACAGTAGCAGACAATACACATGAATTGTTGCTGCATGGGGGAGTAAAAGGTATTTAGTGGAAAAAAACTTGAGGTTAAGTATCAACTGAAAAACAGTTAATCTAAAGCAAGGGTAGAAGTTCAGTTTAGGCTACTTGATTGAGATCCATGTAGTGTGGGACTGCTTTTGTTAAATCTAGTAACACTAGGAATTCGTTTCAAATGGAGGGAAACCCAAATTGCTGCATAGCTAATTAAAAAAAAAAGAACCCCAGGATAGCATGTTTCTGCATTTGATAAAAACACAGAGGAGAGGGTGTTTACACAGAGGATGGGTGTCACTTTTGTCACTTTGAGCAGCGAAACGCTTGTTCGTTGACAGGACTGGCGCCTTGAAGTAAACCAAACAATGAGCAGCATGTCTGCCTTTCGACGTTTCTAATTATCACCATTCAGGCAACAGATAAGGCTGTCCGTCACCTAGGTCTTACTTTAACAAAAGGATTTAAAATTAAAATGTCAAATTGACACGCTTTAAAGGCCCAGGCCAGTTATCACAAGAGCTGAGCTAAACCTAACCTAGCCAGGAAGCTAGGTGGCTAACGAAATGTGCAGTTAGCATATTTCTTTCGATCTTGCCAATCTCCACCAAACAAAAACTACCCAATCAAACAGAGCGATATATGCAAGACTAGAAAGGTTAGGCAGATGTTCAAGATAATCATTGACAAACCAAAGCATTGCCTGACCTGTTGTTGAGAAAGCAAGCTCATCTTTGTCCGCTGGCTAGTTTACGTTCTTTTTTTGCAAAATAAACAGGCTCAGACGGTACCTCGTACTCTCGTGTTAGCCACAGAAAAACGTGGACAAGTCAAAGCGACCAGTGGTGCTTCTGTATTTTAATTGACATTTAGTTAGCGTTTAGCCGGAAAAGTTATCTTCCTCCCGCCTGTTCCATACACACCGAATAGAAATTTTGATGTTTCGCGCGCCGTGACAGCTGGCCCACAGTTTTTCGTCACCGGAACGTCAATCACAGTGTTCTCGATTTCCTATTGGTCTGTTTGGCGCAGCTGTCCCGCCTAATTTGACTACGCTGCAATGCAAAAGCGTTTGCTTAATCCCCGGGACCTCTCCGGCGGGTGGGGGTTGTTGCTGGAGAAGAAACAAAAAGGAAAAAATTCCAAATATCAGAACAACTTTAACACTTATTGTAATGGTAATTAATCATAAAGCACAGTTATTGAAAATGCACCGTTTTGCAACTATTCCATTGTCCCGTTGCAAGGAAAATGGCATTGCATAATGGAGTGATATCTTTATTTAATCATTTATCGCTTATTTGTTCTTTAAAGACCTACTACCCAGACATTTCAAAACCATTAAATTTCTCCACATTTTTGTCCATCTACACAGATTTTTCTGTGCAATTCTACTTACAAACCCACTATTCCCCAATCAAGTGTTAAAGTCGGCGCTTTGCTGATACTAATTAATCCAATTAATGATGCATATTACATATCTAAGAGTTGTCTGTTTCTCAAAATTAGTTGCATAACCTTGACTTCTGTTAATTAGTATTTTTTCCAGGCTTTTGCAGCTTAATACATTTGTGTCTTTTGCAAGGTTGAATGAAACATTTGGATTTTTAGCAGTATCCCACAGTTTCATTTGTTAGACCAAACAATAACCCCCGAAACTGACACCCCCACCCCCACATCCCCACCCAAAGGCTGATACTCCAGGTTAATCAACAAGCGACATTGATTCTTTAATCAGTTTTTTCAGCTCTGCTATATAGTTGAACAGATGATTCGTAATGATCAATCAACAACTGACACTAACACAATGTTCCACTCCAAATGTACTTACCAATAAGCGAATTTATTTCAACATCTTGCACTCTGAACCACTGCACAGAGAGCAGGAACCAAACTGGAGTCCTACTTCTTGAATGCACATACTTGGCCATTAGGTTTTTAATTCCAATTTACAGCATTAAAAAAACCCATTTTATCATTCTAATATTGTTTCAGTTTTATTGACACAAAGTTTTTCAGATGTGACTTCTTAAGACAACTGCGCATGCGTGTCCAGGTGAAAAAAGGTATATAGCAGGGGTTTAAGCGCAGGTTTTTATTTCAGTGTGGAGGTATCCTACTGGAGGAGGTAGAGTAGCAACAATGGTACTGCCTAAGAGCAACGAGCTGGTACCACGGAGCGAGAATCGTGTGGGGCTGTTATTGAGCGTATCGTCCAATTATAGCGTCTTGACAGCAGAAACCATGAACTGGGAGTTGTTGCAGAAAAAATACGGTTATATTTTAAGGCGGTTCCTGGAGCGTTATGTACTACCAAAGCAAGGCAACGGAAAAGGGAGGAGGTATGAAGACCGGTTTGGATTTAGAAGAGGTAAGGATGTCCAGATTTTATATCTTGCCTTGGGTTTCTCTTCTTTATTTTTATTTTGTGACCATGTTTCTACAAGTCCCAACTAAATCTTCAAAGGAAAAACAAAAACATTCAAATTTAAATCTTAAACTCGAACAGCAACCTGTTTGGGGGGTCTTAACCCCTTCTCAAAAAATAAGATTTCTTATGATATAATCCAAGTAAATAACAAAAACACAAACTGATGAAAAGCTGCTACCTTTTATTCTGCTTTATTCAGATAAAATAAAGCAGGGCATGTGCACCTTGCTTGGAAAGTATCACTTAAAAAGCTTCTCAGTTTGAAAAAACAAAACAAAAAAACTTACACAAGATTTGCTTTAAATGTTTTGATGTCTCACAGCACAATTAAGCATTAAGAAACTTTGATCTTTTTTATTTGGTGTAACAAATATTTAGTATATACTCTGCTTACAGACAGAAACTTTATTAATCCCACACTGGAGACGTTCAGGCGTCGAATGAATGAGAAAATGAATTGAAGATATAATAGAAAAATGAATGAATACAAGGGTAATTTGTATAGTGTAAAAATGCTATTATACTTATTGATGCTATATTGTTTAAGCTGTATTTAATTTTAACTCACAAACAAAGAAATTTTGAGTATAACTAGTAAAAACAACTGCTTGCATCTCTGCGGTAGCCTACGGTGTATTTTGCCACTTGTAACCGACGCATGCGCATATCTAAACCGTCAGCAGCATCGGCAGCGGCGGTAGCTCAGTTCAGGTCAGCCCAGTCAGCAGTCGTCCACGCGTCTATCTATACTCCCGTTTCTTAAATTTAGCCACTTTCAAGCTTCGAGATACCGCCCCCAATTTCAGCGTCGGTACGGAGCCGCCAGGCCGGGACAGAGACGGAGAGAGAGGCCTCGGCCATGGAAGCGCTCGGACCCGGTAAGGATTTTTAAGAAAGCGAGAGCGGAGCGAGGAGCTGTGAGCGCGAGCCGTGTGTGGGGCGCGTGTGCGCAAATGCGTCGCTTCACTGGGGGCCGTGGCTGCAGCGAGGCCTCGTTGTGACGGGAAAACAAGCCGAGGCCCAAGCCCGTGTTTGTGTACGTACTCGTAGTACGTTAATTACATCGAACCAAGGGGGGCTCCTTTTCCTGTTAGTACCGGAGGGGGTTGTTTTTATCCACTCTCCCGCCGTGTCCGAGGGTTATATTTATGTCAGGCACGCTCTACTCGTCGTGTCGGGGCTGGCATTGTGTGAGTGGGGATTTAACTGGGACCTTCCTTCCTTCCGCGTCGTGCTGTGTTTACGTTGTTTGGTTTCGCTGTGTTTATTCGGCGTTTCACGCCTTTACGACCCGATTTCTTCAAGGGGACTGCGTGTTTGCGTCGAAATACGGCGGAATGTAACGTGTTTTTGCAAAATCCCCCTCCCAGTTAAATCATATAAATCTGCCTGCATCGCCATCAGGAGCAGGCAAGCTCGTCTCTTACACCCCCCTCCCCGCCCGTCCAAGATGACAGCGATGGTTTGGGAAGACAAAATGAATGCCAACAAAACACGTTTACTCTGCAGATGTGGTGATTTTGTGGTTTTTTTTTTTAATGTGAGGTGGTCATCGGTTTGCGCGCCTCTCCTTGGGCAGCAGCCATGCGCCCGTGAGAGCACAGCAGGGATGGATGGCGCTCTTATCGATCAGATCTGCAGGCCAGCTCCATTATAGTCTCCTATATGATAACAAAGGCACGTATTTTAATGCAATAAAGGCATGCAGTGGGAAGTCAAATCATGCACCTGTGCGGTCATCAGTCCAATATGCAGTGTTATTGTCACAAAGCTGCAAAATATGTTTAGGTCATATTCCCCCCCCACCCCACTGGAGACATTGTGTTCTTTTTTTTTGTGTGTGGGAAACGCGCCTTTTCATAAACGAAGCATCTTGCAACAGAAAAGTCTTCATGCGACAGCATTGACATGGTTTATTATTATTATTATTATTATTTATTTATTGACTTTCTAAATGACCACACATTTCCCCGCAAGAATCAGAAGAAAGGTAGTGGCATTAGGAAGCACTAGATGTGTTATTTAAACAGGAAATGTGCTCCTGCAGAAAATGTTAAATGGATGCAAGAAGCTGTGAGGGTCCAGGCTTATTGGGGACAATGCATCCTATCTATCCTTCAGGGGTGTGTTTGGATCATTGCTGCACATAATGAAATGAAATAATGACTCCCAAGTAATCAGCATTTATTATTATACATTAGTGATTGCTTATTGTGCCTGCTGTGTGTACTTTGCTACAGCAAGTGTTTAGGTTGTGGAGTTTGAATTGAGATTTTCTATCAAAGCCTTTGTTTACACGTTCATAGATGCAGACGTAACAATGAGATTTTTTTGTGATGAATATAAATATGATCTGTGAACACTGCTCTAGAATTTCTCTTTTTGGCATGTTTGTAAAGCTTTGCTGCCCTTTTCAAAGGCAGTGCTTAATCTTTATTAATATTGAATTATTAATAATAATATAATATTAATATAATGCAAACTGGCCACGGTGCAGGTGTGAAGTAAATCTGAATGGATTAGAAATAAGTTTGACTCTTTTTCAAAATTTCTATACATGCTTAATATCTAATCGCGTTCCTTTCTTTATGACCAAAATAAACGCAAAGCTTTAATATTGTGACGGCCTTAGTTGCAGTTTTTAACTCTTCTAAATTACAGTTACAGTAATGTCTTGTAGCCCATTCTGTGTGTCTGCTGTCTCCCGTTTAGTCGTGCTTCAACAATACTCTTGTTCAGTGGTGGGGATGTCTTCAAACACAGGAAAGATGTAAAGCAGACGGTCAACTGTCTGTTCTTAGAGGTGTGAAATGCAGCAGTGAGTGGCCTATTCAGTGACAGAATTCTGAATTGGCTTGTTGTTGTCTCGAAATTGTGGTGGAGTCACACAACATGATGAATATGCAGAGATGAGTGAAAAGACAAAAGCCTGGAGGACACTGAGTGAAAATGAGAGGAAGTGTAGTAATTTTGAAGTATAAGATCCCATTTGGAAAATGCATTAATTCGTAATGGTAAACATGGTCAGTAAGACATCCTGTGTTACATTTAAAATCATCTAAGTCAGCTCGCCTGATTCTTCTGCACATCTCTACACTGATGTGTGGATATTTCTACATTGTGAATGGTCACTAAGCCTTTCTTAATGCATCTCCTCTTTCTCCTGTTCGGTGTAGTACCTTAATCCGGGTGATTTTCAGGTGTGGGCGTCAGTGTACTCCCTGTTCGGTGCTCTTAGTCTCTGACTCATCGCAGGGCCAAGCCATCATCCTCGTGCTTAGCTTTAAGCCCAGCTGTCTATGCTCCACTGTGGTTACCAGGGACATGCATAGCATTAGTAGGCTCTACAGTGCATTAGTAGGAAACCCTACTCAGAAAGTGTGAGTACACTGCACACGATCTAATGGTTTGTCTAAATTAGATCAGTGAAGAGTTGGGGGTGGGGTGTTACAGTAAGATAGGCAGGCGGAAATCTTTGTACCATGTTTATGGTCAGTTTGGATTTAAGCTTTGAAAAGGAAGGCTTGTTTGCCTTTAGTGCATCTGTCATTTTGTGTGTAAGGGGGGAAAGTTAATTTCACTTCCTCTGTGACTCAAAGTAGATGCAACTCTGTCTCATTTGGAGCAGAAGCACAAATTATGGAGGAAGCTCACTGTAAATGTGAGAGCTGCTATTTATATGGTATTCAGCACTGTTTAAGTACTTCATTAATGTTCTGGTTAAAAAAATGAATTAAAAGACCTGTGCAGATTGTCACTGCTGTCTTGTGTTAGTGTAGCTGACAGGTTTGCTAAAATATGTAGGCTCTGTATTAAATATTGGTGGGTTTTTTTGGGTTTTTTTAATTGAAACTGTGCCTCGTAGCTCCATAGTGTAGTGGTTTACATATTTGCCAGACAAGAGAGATACCCCAGTGTGATCCCAGGAGGAAAGACGGATCCCGTCGGGGTTGTGTCAGGATGGGCGTCTGGTGTAAAAACTGCCAAATCAAACATTTGGAGCTGCCCACTGTGGCGACCCCTTGTGCAGTTGAAAGTGCTGTTACTGAGAATGAGCTTGTGACATTCACAAAATACAAGACCATGTTTACTCAGAAGGTCTTTAAAGTGAAATGTGTTATCCACATGTGTGGCTTAAGTTTTGTATAATGTTCAGTCGCCTGGATTGTCATCCAATACTTGTTTTTTTTTGTTTTTTGTTTGCCTGTCCTGTTTGGTTCCTTTGCCATCAGAATTATTGTCTAAAGGCAAAGAAACATGCCCAACGGATTTACTTTAAGATTGTCATCCAATACTAACTTAATTATTTATGTTTAACTTTAAAAGTAGATCTATATTTTTCTTGCCTGTGGCAGCAAAGCCAGCAGTTACACTCAGATTTGCTATAAGTTGTTAGTTATTGGATTACAAGTACTTGGAAAAGAGCTGAGCTTTAGACAGTTGGTCAGACAAAACTATCAGTTTCTATCTCATGCTGGGTGCTTTTCATATTTTACAATTTTAAAGTTCATGTTGGGTCAAGTTGGGGGTGGAGTGGAGAGAAGAGTGGTTGTGGAGGAAGGATGACTTTAGGCATTTCACATTGAGACACATTTCTAAGTGTAGTAATGTAGCAGCTGAGGAGGCTAAATATAGGCACAGCTCTGTTTTTGGTGGAAGAGGAAGCCCTCAAAGTTGCTGTGCATCATGTCTATACTAAAAACACTTTCTGCTACTTTCACACAGTGGGCTGAAAACAAAAATCTGTGTGCAAAGGTATCTGTGCATATGCACAAAAGTAGACGAAATAGAAGTTGTTTTTGCAGTTGATTGCAGGTCGTCTGTTAGCTGTATAGACACAAAGTGGGATTGTTATAAGAGTGTATTATTGATGCAGATGGCTGAATGCAGAAATTTAGTCCATGCTAAGCCTGCACTAAAATAATTTGGCAAATGGGCCCATTTTCTATTGCTATGTTTGTTATGTGTCATTATTACTTGTTGCATTATAGGAATTATTGTACAAGCCTTAAAATGTCTTTGGGTTGGCTGTAGCTTAGGTGTTAGAGCAGGTCATCTGCTAATTGGAAGGTTGTTGGTTCGATCCCTCCAGTCTGCATGCCAAATGTCCTTGGGCAAAATGCTAACCCAAGTTGCTCTCCAATGTGTCCATCGGACAGTGAATGTGTGTGATTGTTAGATAGCATTTATATAGAGCATAGAGTTTTTGGGTTTGTCAGAGTAGAAAAGTGCTATATAAGATTCACCAAATCCATTTTTACTTACGCCAAGTCATTCATATTTTTCTGTTTTAAATGACAAAAGTTGTACTTTATTACATTGGTTTGACTTTAGAATATATGCATCAACAAATCTGAAAAGTTGGAGCTGGAGCTGCCAAATGATAGTATAAGGCAGCAATGAATAAAAGTACCTCAATGAGGACTATTCCTTCCCTAGTAAAACACAGCTGCATCAAAGGTGTTGGTTTTGCAGAACTGAAGGATCAAGTGTGACAAAATCCCACGTTGGAGACAAAATGTTACATAAGCAAATTATCCTGCCTGTAAGTTGTGACATACACCAACACAAATGATGAGTACAACATATGCAGAGACGTGTAGCTTCAAGCATAATGTGGAACATTTGGTATGCCTTTTGTTGCTATCTGTAACAAGGCCAGTAGGACAAATTTAAATGACTCATCAGAGTATTTCCAGATCGTGGCAGAGAAAAGCAGACGTGCAACAAATGGCTTCTTACTTGAGCACGTATCGTCAAACATAATGTTTCATAAGAACTAATGGCTTGTTCATGTGATGGAGGAGGAGTGGGTAGAATAGAGGAGGGAGGAGGAGGGTGATCTGGGGTGCGCAGGCTAGATGAGGGCATGTTGGGAAGCGTGTTTTTAGGAAGCGATGGGGAGGGTCTCAGTTGTCTGTGCTCTCACGCTTCAGTTGTTAACTGGAGCGTGTGGGTGCACGGAGTTTAGGAGGACCCCCGCAGTCCCTTAGCTGGCAGTTGACAAAAGCATTAGGCAACATTTGGTGCTACCAGCAATTATTATATTTACACATAAGTATATATATTTCCTTTTAAGTGCTTAAATTTTGTGCATGCTTTAGTTTGGCTAAAGCATTCAAAAGCTTTTTTCCCCTCCTGTAGAGAGTTGTATTAGGATATTTGATTTTTAAGCCTTTTAGGCGCTCTTGTGCCAAGTAATGCTTGGCTAGCCATATCAGCTGATGATTTCGACAGAATAAGCACCACATTCCCTCCTTCCTCCCGTGTTGATGCAAATCAGTAGTGTTGATATTTGAGAGATGAATCATTATTGGGTTCACTGTAACAGGAAGCTTGAGGTCTTGTGCACGTATATGTGCATATATTGTGTTCCTCTGTACTTGCGGCTTTTATGATTAAAATTGAGGCTCATGTACTAGCGTAAATTGTGTATATGTACGTTTCTGTATGTATGGGAGTTGGATGCGGACTGTAACGGTAATCCCAGACTGTCCGCATGGCACCCCTCCATATGGTCCCACTGCTGTTTGTCTGAGAAGAGCGCTGTCTTTGTCTCGGCGTAAAGGGTGGGCACCCTGTGTGTCTGGGTGGAGCAGTGGGCGGGTTGAAGGATAATTGGAGGTCATTGTTTCGCCAGCCCCTTGTTGACCCATGTAGGTCAGGGGCCAGAGTTACGGATCAATCAAAGCATGCATGTGCCCTTCAGGGTTCGAGACCATTTTAGTGCATTCAAGCAGGTGTCACTAATGAGAGTTTCCAATGAGCTTGGCGTTGCGCGGTGCACATTCATCCATCAGACATGACATTTAATGGCAAGCTAAACAAGCTGTCCCCACCTTTATAAACAGTTAAATGCCAAATGTGCTTTATGCGAAGTTTAAAATGAGACTTGTCTCAAATGTGGACGTTAGGGAATCAATTTATTGTTATTGTGTTGCAAATTATTACTCTTTTCCTTTCAGGCCCGCCCGCCCCTACCTCTCTGTTTCAGCCTCCACGGCGTCCCGGCCTTGGCACGGTGGGGAAACCCATCCGGCTCCTTGCCAACCACTTCCAGGTGCAGATTCCCAAGATTGATGTCTATCACTATGATATTGAGATCAAGCCTGAGAAACGACCACGAAGGGTTAACAGGTAAAGATTCATGAAGATACTGATCGTTTTGATCTGTTGCTTTTGCAACCAGACTGCCTAAATGTCTCTGAATGTTGATTATGTGCCCTGACTATCCTGTTGGACCTCGCTTCTGTAGGGAGGTGGTGGATACCATGGTCCGGCATTTCAAGATGCAGATTTTTGGTGACCGACAGCCTGGCTATGATGGGAAGAGGAACATGTACACAGCACATCCACTGCCAATAGGGAGGGACAGGGTTGGTATTTCAGGCACATAAACTGTCAGCTCTAATGCACCATAAAGGGATAAGTTTTGTATTTAATGGCATACCTCAGTGATTGTAGATCATATTTTAAGAAGGAAATGGCAGGCGTATTAAATGGGTTACTGGCTCAGCTTAAGGAGGCAGACTACATAATTGAGTGAAAGGTTTCCAACTGGATTTCTAGGAAAGTCTGGAACAGGAATGCGATCTGTGCTGGTCTGAGGGGTCTTTTAGATAGGACCTCTAATAGAAAATGCAGTATGCAGGCATTCATATTTCATCGACTATGTAATTTAAGCTGACAAAAAAGCCTGATGATGAAAATTTATGTTTAAAGGAAACAATAAATTTCACTCCAATAATTTAATCTGTTTGTATCTGGCCAGTATATGTGGAAATGAGATCTCAGTAATACAAAGTGGGTTACTAATATCTGCATGACCAGTTAAAAAAGTGTTTTGGTGCCATTTTTATGACTTACTGACATTTCATTTGCTTTATTTTGGTAACTTTAAGTCCTTTCCTTTAGTTTTTGTCTGGTTTATACCGCTTGATTCTTCATTGTGACTCTAGTTCATCTATTTGTAATCTGAAAAATGATTACATTCTTTGTTTTGCATTTCTGGGTTTTTTGATCACCCCTTGTCACACATTCTACAACCAATGTCCCTTCGCTGAGCTTTTGTTTTCATCATTCTTGGCCCTCTTCTGCCCTCAGGTGGATCTGGAGGTCACCCTACCTGGTGAGGGGAAAGATCAGACGTTCAAGGTGTCCTTGCAGTGGGTTTCTGTGGTGAGTCTTCAGATGCTGCTGGAAGCCCTGTCGGGTCACCTTAACGAGGTGCCAGAGGACTCCGTTCAGGCTCTGGATGTCATCACAAGGCATCTGCCTTCCATGAGGTACGGCTTTTCACCCATGACTTACAAACTCATCACCAGCTTATTCACGTCTTTTCTGCAGTGTTGTTGATGTAATCTAATGTCAGAATAATGGCTTAAATTTTCACTAAAAGCTGTTATAACTTAGTAATGTAAACACAGATGTAATTAGGAGAGAGGGACTTAAACATATCAAGAATTCATTGTACTACGAATATCCAGATCAATAGAGCAGTTATTAGCATGCTCATATGCCCACTTTTGTCTTTCAGACTAATGCGTCTGGATTTTTTTTTAAAAATTGCATGTTTTAAAAATGTACCTTAATGGTTAAGTGAACATCTGGTTTGTTAATAAATACAAAAATAATTAGATAATATAAAACCTAAAATTTGTTTTTCGGTTACACAGGTACACTCCAGTGGGGCGATCGTTTTTCTCTCCTCCGGAGGGTTACTACCATCCTCTTGGTGGAGGCAGGGAGGTGTGGTTTGGTTTTCATCAGTCTGTCCGTCCTGCCATGTGGAACATGATGCTCAACATCGATGGTACAAACAGATTTTTCTGCAGCTATGATTTGAAATTTTATTGATTTGAAAACATCTAAAATGAGATTTTTATGTGATGTAAGGATGCTCACTGCCAATTGAAGCAAATATCTAACTGGCCAATCTTGACAGCATATCACTGCAGTTAGGCATGTACACATGGTCAAGAGTACCTCTTGAAGTTCAGTGTCTGAATGGAGAAAAGTGACAAGCATGAGTGAACATGGCATGGTTATTGGTGCCTGACGGGTTGATCTGAGTATTTCTGAAACTGCTCATCTACTGTGATGTTCCCACACAACTATTTCTAGTTTTACAGCAAATGGTCTGAAAGAGAAAATATCCAGCGAATGGCAGTTCTCTGGGTGAAAATGTCTTGTTGATACCAGAGGTAAAAGGAAAATTGCCAGACTACTTTGAGCTGAGGAAGGCAACAGTAACTCAAATAACCACTTGTTATCAAACAAGAGCAGGAAGTGCACTTCAAAGTTTGAAGCTGATGGGCTAGAGCAGCCAAAAAAAACCACACCGTGCCACTCTTGTCAGCTGAGAGCAGGAAACTGAGGTTGCAGTTCACACAGGTTTGCTGAAGCTGTACAAAAGATTGGAAAAATGTTGCTTTGATCAATCATTCTTAATTTCTGCCGTGACAGTTGAATGAGAGTTCGAATCTTGCATTAAACTGATTTCTTGAACATGACAATGAGTTGACTGTACTCAAATGGCCTCAGTTAGTGGGTCTCAGTCCAATCCCCAATAGAAAGATGTGATGCAGTGACAAATTGCAACTGTGCAATGCTATCATGTCACTATGGATGAAAATGCTGCAGGAATATTTCCAGCACCTTGTTGAGTCTTTACCACCAAGAATTAACAGTTCTGAATTAAAAACGGGGTCCACCACAGTACTAGCAAGATGTGCCTAATGAAATAAGAAAGTGCTTACAACTAGAATACTTTCTTTAATATTTCGTACAGTGTCATGACTCCCATTAGACTAGAAACACTGACTTTCTTTAGTAAAAACTTGTAAAGAAATGATTGGGCGGAAACAGTCGTAAGTATTACAATGCAATTCATATGAAGTTTCAGTATGTTAGCAAAGCATCATAATATATTGCTTTATGAGATGCATTACAAATCATGTTGGGTTTATAATATGAATCTGAAAAGGTAAATAAAGGTAGATAATTAAGGGTAAAAGTGAAAGGTGCCCTAAACACAAGTATCTCCATTGGACTTTTGCACCTGTAAAGTACAGCTCAAGGTATTGGTTCACAGAAGCACACAAGGCTGTTATGTGTTTGGTCTTTAAATAGCGAAGTTGACAAAGAAATTTCTGTCGGGTCCGGATTTTTAATTGGTTCGTTCATCTTTGCTTTTCTGTATTGACTGCTATTCATTTTTCCTCAGTTACTGATTTATAAAACCAGTTGAATAACTTTCTTTTTTCCTTAACAGTATCAGCTACTGCTTTCTACCGTGCTCAGCCTGTGATCGAGTTCATGTGCGAGGTGCTTGATATACAAAACATCAATGAACAGACCAAACCACTGACTGACTCACAACGTGTCAAGTTCACCAAGGAAATAAGAGGTGAGCACTCACAACCACCAACTGAATTAAGAGCTTAGAATCTGCCAGACCGGGGAGGTCAGTGACACACATTATCACGTTATGAATGACTTTAGACTCTTTAACTCTTCCGCACTCCATAAAAAGTTACAAAGAAATCCACTCTGGTAACTGGGTCATGCAGTCCTGCTATATCTAAATCAACTGGCGGAAATCAAAGTACTTTCTCTTTAAGCAAAAATACAGAAACATTTCTTTGACCAGTTTTGATCTTTCTTTAGCCTCACATGTTGTAACTGGTAGTTGCACAACAAAGAGCAGAAGCTGCTGACATGTTTTTGTTGAAATTCAGAACCAGATAGTTAAACTTGAAATCAAACTTCTTTTTTTTTTTCTTTTCGTTCTTCACTTCTCTAGCCTCTGTGGGGCTTGTATAAGCACACTTTTCTGTCTAAAGAAAAGGCATATCTAGCTGGATTGTCAGCATTGATATTTCTTATGGCCTCAAAAAAACCAGACTGCTAAACCTGCTAAAGGCAAACACAGTAATGTTTTAATTTTTTTTTTTTTTTTTTTTTTTTTTTTTTTTTTAAATCTATCCAGACATTGCAATTATTCTTGGTGTGTTTTTAAACAGGTTTGAAAGTTGAAGTCACACACTGTGGTCAAATGAAGAGGAAGTATCGAGTTTGCAATGTCACGCGCCGACCTGCCAGCCATCAGACGTAAGTAGCAATCCTGCACTCATCAGCAAAGGCACTGTAGTAAAGTGTACCAAAGTCATACCCTTATAAGTGTTGTAAATGTAGAATTAAACTAGGCAAACATTTTCTTATTTATTCATACTCACGGAGACTTCAATGTGGCTTGCACACATTTTCCATTTATGCACAGGTTCCCCTTACAGCTTGAGAACGGCCAAGCCATGGAGTGCACAGTAGCTCAGTATTTCAAGCAGAAGTACAATCTACAGCTCAAGTATCCACACTTACCCTGTTTGCAAGTAGGACAGGAACAGAAGCACACCTACCTTCCCCTAGAGGTGAGAAAACCCCCTTTTTTTTGGAAGGGGGGGGGGGGAGATGGAAAATGTTCTCACGCAGTATACCTTTAATAAAAAGTTGTGACATTTTTCCTTTTCAGATTGCCCACTGCTGCTCCTCTTATCTGATTTTTGTTTAATTAATGAAATGCCCATTCCTCCTCCTGCAGGTCTGTAACATAGTAGCAGGCCAGCGCTGTATCAAGAAACTGACCGACAACCAGACATCAACCATGATTAAAGCTACAGCTCGTTCAGCCCCCGACAGACAGGAAGAGATCAGCAGATTGGTGAGAGTTGGTTCCCTGTTTGAGGAGGCATTGGGGGCTGGATCATCATGCTGTATTTTTAATTGTTTGCTTAGTTATAGCAACTGCTTCAAACCCAACCATGTCTAAAGGAAAATTAGAAATTTGAGTGTCTGACTTGAGTGTATTTATTTAAAAGGGACAATGAACACAGTTGTCATTGTCAGTATGCTAGATTTATCTGTACATTTTCAAATGCCAGTCCCTGGCAGGTTGATTGTATTGTGATTCCTGTGAACTTGTCTTCCTTTCTCTTTCTCAGGTCAAAAGTAACAGCATGGTCGGGGGCCCCGACCCTTACCTGAAGGAATTTGGCATTGTTGTGCATAATGACATGACAGAGGTGACAGGGCGTGTCCTCCCAGCGCCCATGCTACAGTATGGGGGCCGGGTGAGTACAGACACAGGGAGGGACTGTGGCAGGGTGAGTACTGGGCAGGGGACTGCATTCTCAGGGCGCAAGCCCGTTGGGAATGCACAGGGTGGGCGTGGGACGGGGCTTCAGAGTGAATGCTGTGACATGGGGATGTTCCAGGTTTGCAGAGGTTTTACAGCTAATGATTGAGATGCTTATAATCTTGTAAATGCAGTTAAATTAAAATATCCAAAGTGATTAATGACTTGAGTACATGCTGAATAGTATACCCATTACATATACATTAAACTGGAAGTATAGGTGATACAGCAGTCGGCTTTAACATATGCACACTTGTAAGACCTGGACCTTTCCCATGTTATAATCCTGTGGTGCATCTCAGATGTCTATTAAGTGTCTCCTTTTGCATATTCTTCCCCTCATTAAGACAGCTTCAGGATGTAAAGATCTAAATGATATTGCATTGACTGCTTTCTGTAAGTGGAAGAAATGAGATGAGGAGCCTGTGGACCACTGAGATATGCCCACTGAATTTCAAATCAGCCCATTTGAGGATCTAAAGTTGAGAAGCCTAAAGTCAGTTTTTAGTGTCACGAAGGTGGCTCTTTTGACCTGGCTAGAAGCATTTAGTTTTGGTTTTAAATCTTCATTTTGTCATCTTTTTGCTGTATCCTGTAACTGATTGTTTCCTGGAGGAACACCGTGTATATAAGCAACTGAAGCAGAATTTATGGTTCAGCAGGGAGAGTGTGTTCACAGACAGCGGGCGGTCTGGGGATGGCCCATCTGCCTGCAGAGGGCTCTGTGTATGGAAGCAGTGTACAAAGTATGTGGTACAGCCGGTCTGCGGGCCACTCTTGCTTGTGCTGTTGTTGGTCCGTCAGCCAGTAGTGGAGAAGAGCGAAGTTACAACATACAAACTGCTAAAGTGAAACGGAGTGTTAAACATGAAGTTTCCACTGCAGCCACTGTCGGTACTCTTCATGCTTTGTCTTTAAAAAAAGTACAGCATGAATATAGAGCAAAATGTTGTTGTTTTGCGGTTTTTCCCAGTGAACTCCGCTGTCGCTCACTTCTCTATTCCGGCTCACTTGTCAAGCAGTCGGCATTGGCAGTGGCATACAGCATCTGCTTCCAGCGACGTGCAGTTGAATTTTGGAGAACTGCATGGGAGCCCATCTGCAGTGAGTGAAAGCCCCTCTCCCCCGCTGTACGAGTGGTAACGTCTACACAGACGGACATATTTGCTCGACCATAAATTATGCTTTAAGTTGTGCCTTAACCAACACCACTGAATGAATCTGTTCCATTAGCTGCTATTGGAGTAGTTAAAATAATCAGCCACATTTATAGGCTGTTAATCACAGAACATTCAGCTGTTTCAATTTCACTTTGATTTCACAAATCAAAGTGATTTTTCCACATCTTTTTTTGTTCTTCTTTTTTTTTTTTTTTAAGGTTAAGACAGTCAAATGTGGCTGTTTAGATGTATGCATGTTAAAGTTTCTGAACTCTAATGTGCAGCTGCCTTTTTAGAAGTAAATGGCTGCAGTAACAATGCACTGAGTGGTTAAAATAATCAACTTGAGGTTATACATTTTAGCACTCTGTGCGCTTGTGGTGATCACATCACAAGGTTAGCAGTTTTCTCCCACATTACTGTCATGTGTAGCAAGTGTGTCATTTCACTTATTTCTTTTGTTCTTTATAGATTTCAGACAGTGCTTCAGCTGATCCACTTTGTGCAGAGGAAGAGTCAAATGACCCATCAAACGACCCCTTTTATGTGAGGCGCAAAAACCCTGAGTTAACAAAGTTGATACCCACCGTCGGGATATTTGTTATCTCTGACTGGTGTTTTAGGTTGTGTCAAGTCAGCTAATGCAATGAAAGCCTGGATATGTTCAATTTGTTTACCGCTCTGTTAGGATCTGTGATGCTAGATTGCATCATTTGCATCTATCTAGCTAAAATAAGGAATTTAATAAATAGCCATTTAGCAATAAGTTATTCGCCTTCGATATCTTGACTATTGCCTGGGAAGGCATGTGAGGCTGAATTGGGATTCAAGGATTGTGTGTAAAGGTGGGGGGTAATGGAAATGCTGCCAACCGGAAGACGATAAGACTCTTATCCATGCAGGAATAAAGTAAAATTAGTCTTCACTTCCACTGTTTGTGCCTGTGGAGTGAATGTGAATCTATTTTTCATATGAAAATTAGAAGGTTAATATAAATACTACAGGGGCTGGATTAAAACTCGCCACTCACTGGCAGTGTGCAATGATTCTGCTAAGATAAGATTAAATTTTAATCATCCCTGTGGGGAAATATTGGCTCAGTCTTTGGCCAGCTTTCTCGTAGAGTTCTGTGGCGCCTTTTTTTTTACTTTTTATTAAAAAAAAAAGAGGCATATTCTCATTTGGGGGGGGGGGTACCTGTGCCAAGCTTAAATCCACTTCTGACTGCCTCAACTATACATTGCGTCATAAACCCAAGATCCTGAAAGAACACTGAATGATTTGGCCATTTGCCTGCTGGGATATTGAGTCTAATCAGCTTCTAGCATAAGTGCCCTTAATGCATACAGAAAGCTTTTTTCCAATTTCTGTGATCACTTTGTATGAATGAAATGCGCACATTTCATTCTATTCAATGTGATATAATCGTGCCGCCTTTTTTCTGTGTAATATGCGCTGAAGTTTTTATTAGTCTGAACAACCTGTAAATATGTATTTTTATCTTCTTTTTTCTTTTTTTTTTTTTTTAAAATACATTTTTCAGGTTGTGTTGAAAAGAGATGGAGAACCACTAAACTTTTGGCATTCGACTGAAGTTCCATGTGGCCACTCAGTTTGAAGAACAAAGCTCCTAATGGCCTTTGGCAAATCTTATTAACTTAATTGAAAGCTTCCCTTTGAATTTCCAGTCGCAACCCAACTGAAACTGGAAGTGCTCGGTGTCTCTTTAAGTGGATGCAATACTCATTATACTCATATTACTCATTAGGACCCCTGACATGAAACAATATAAGAAAACCGGTTATTTCTTGGCAATTTAAAAAGAATCTAAAGTTCAGTTTTGTTTTTTTTTTAATCTATTTATATTTTTTTTGCGCGCAATATGTTTACATGACTGACCAAATTGGCACTAGCCTTTGAGGGACAAAGTCATTATTTTTGGCAGCAGGGTAACAATCTACCTCGGAAACACCCCCCACACCACAACTATGGACTCACCCAGCCCTGGTGACTTCAAGGCAAACCTAGATACTGCTAGCTTTAATTGGTGAATCAACTTGTTGAACTTGTACTCAGAATTGGCAGCAAACCAACTTACAGTTGTAGCCACATTAAATTAAACTTATTAAATTTGTCAGTAATTTGCATGTCACAGCTCAACAGCATGATATCTTTAGAAATGGTTAACTAGTCTACTACAGTGTCTCAACATTTGCCTTTAACACATTGAGCTTTAGCATAAAAGAAGGAAGATATTTAACTATGTATCTGTACTTGACCACTGTTTCAACAGCCCCATCATCTGTCAGAGGTGGCAAGGATGGACCCAGACCAATTTGGATGGGCTTCCTGCTCCCATCTAAACTGACAGTTTCCCAGATTTTAGCTAAAAGTGAACCATTACAGAGTGAATATGTTGCAAATAATGCCTTTCTATGTCTGTTTCAAATTCATTTAGGATAAAATGCAAGCAGCTGTGGCAGACTTACTAAATGTAGAGGTAAAGCGTATCCCACCACACCCACTGCCCCAAACACTTGGTTGAAGAGTAGGTATACTTCAGTTGGCCAGGACTTTGTTCGGTTGACTGCAGCCTTCAAAACTGAGACTTTTTTTTTTTTTTTTTAACACAAGTCTGGTGATGCCAAAATAAATGTCATGTGTTAACACCCCCCCCCTATCAGCAATGGTAAAACTGGTATTGAGGTATCAAACATTTAAGCCTTTTAACACTTGTACAGTGTTCCTAGCCAATGTACAGTGTTTACAGGCATGTTCAGCTGTGTGTTAACCCTCTGAGGTCAAAGGATGTGGATAAAGAAAATTAAGGGAACACTTTGAAAATATTATATTTGATCTATCTAAGCCCTTAAAGGGAATAAATTATATTTTTCACTGACTGTTACATCCTCATGTTCTCAACAACTTAACAACAACTGAAAGATTTTGGCTCCGAAATGTCATTTGAGTGCCAATGTGTAATTTTGAAGTGTTCCCTTATTTTTTGAGTGGTCAGTGTGCATATAACTCTAACCCTATCTCATTTTTACATTTTTGGATTAAAAAAAATGTTTTCACATGTTTTGGCAACCAGTGGACAAAATTCTCACACACAAACTTTTTTTTTTACACATTTTTACAAAACAAAGTCCTATTATTTTTTTTTTTTTTTTTTTTTTTTTTTTCCCCTCTTCAACATAGGGTTAGTGTTAACCTTAAGGATGATTGGACTTCAGAGGGTTAATGCTTTGTTTGCTTGTAATTGTTGCAGCTTTTGTATTGGCTCATCCAACTGCAGGGTTGACTAAGAGTGTAGGGGCTCTCTCCGCAGAATAAAACAGTGGCGACGCCCAATCAGGGCGTGTGGGACATGAGGGGCAAGCAGTTCTACGCTGGCATAGAGATCAAGGTCTGGGCTGTGGCCTGCTTCGCTCCACAAAAACAATGTCGTGAGGACCTGCTCAAGTAAGCTTTTAACAGCTGTTAGATATTTCTTTAAAATGTTGCACTAACATTTACGCTTATATTAAACACTCAGTGTTACAGTGAAATGTCTGGATTTAATTCTGTGCACAAAAATATGAAACTAAGTTCTGTAAATGAGAACTCACTTTTAATACTCCAACTCTTTAGACTAAGCTGCTCAAATCCCCCCCCCAACGGCATCATCACTGTTTGGGTGCAGCATGAGAAAACCCAGATTCTGAAGAGTGCAACGATTTTAAAGCTTAGTTAACATCATATAGACATACAATCATTGATATAACATGTTGGCATTACTACTAACTCTAAACTACAAATCGAGAATATTTATATGCAAGCGGTTTTTCGCAGCAGTGGATGGGAATTGCCCACGACCCTGAATTGGATAAGGGACAGTGAAGGGATAGATGGGAATTTCCATTTTCTAGCCAGTCACTTTAAATGTAATACATTGCAGACTGCTGCAGCTGCCAGTGCTTCTCCTGTGTTTGTGCTTTACACAAGTGTAAAAAGAAAACTCCCAGTGCACAATTAGTTGGATTTTTACTGCTGTATGCCACAGTTTTAACACCTGAGTGTGTGAGATCAGGTTAAAGCTCTCTCCTGCTAATGATTTGTTTGATCATACATCCTAACTGATATATAATAAACTCTTGGGTTTTAACAGGAGCTTCACTGACCAGCTGCGAAAAATTTCAAAGGATGCTGGGATGCCCATTCAAGGCCAGCCTTGTTTCTGTAAATATGCCCAAGGAGCTGATAGCGTGGAGCCCATGTTTAAACACCTTAAGATGTCTTACGTTGGTCTGCAGCTGATTGTGGTAATCCTTCCTGGCAAAACACCGGTCTACGGTAAGAAACTTTTCTTCATTTTAATTTTCTTCTTTCTTATATGGATTAAACAATATTGTGACTGTAATCTTGGTCATGTTGGTTGTCTTGTGCAGCTGAGGTAAAGCGGGTGGGAGACACCCTCCTCGGTATGGCCACTCAGTGCGTGCAAGTGAAGAACGTGGTGAAGACTTCCCCTCAGACCCTCTCCAACCTCTGCCTCAAGATTAACGCCAAGCTAGGAGGCATCAACAATGTCTTGGTGCCTCATCAGAGGTCAGAAAGAATTCTAATTTGGTCACAGATGCAATTTCTTCTCTTGAATGGTGAAGATTGTTTAAATGTTCTCTGGAAAATGAAATCTTCCTTGGTAATCATGTGGGACAGACTTTTTTTTTTTTTTTTTTTGCAAACATGTGAGGATTATTAATTATACTGTTACAGTATTAGTGCTGTTTATGCAGTATGAAATTAAAAATGAAGCATACTCCTATTTGTTTTTTGTTTTTTGTTTTTTGTTTTTTTCAGGCCCTCCGTGTTCCAGCAGCCTGTCATCTTCCTGGGTGCTGATGTCACACATCCTCCAGCGGGTGACGGGAAAAAACCATCCATCGCAGCTGTGGTGGGAAGCATGGATGGCCACCCAAGCCGGTACTGCGCCACGGTGCGAGTCCAGACGTCTCGACAAGACATGTCCCAGGTAACTACAGATGTGCTTGAAGCTGACACAGATGGTCTTTATAAAACAGATCTAATGTTTTACCTCAGTATGACCCAGCTCACGTCCATTAAACCAAAGTTTGCTCACTTTTTAATACTTTCCTGTACTAACTCCAGATTTGTTTTGCATCTTCAGGAGCAGCTCTTCAGCCAGGAAGTTATCCAAGACCTTACCAACATGGTCAGAGAACTGCTAATCCAGTTTTACAAGTCAACACGCTTCAAGCCCACACGCATCATCTATTATCGTGGTGGTGTATCAGAGGGACAAATGAAACAGGTAATACTGGCAGCATGTAGAAATTACAAACCATAAAGCTAACAGAATGATATGTAAAATCAAACACCTTTGAGTTTTGTGTAAATTCATTAAATTATTTTTGGTATTTCAGGTAGCATGGCCCGAGCTGATAGCCATCAGGAAGGCCTGCATCAGTCTGGAGGAGGATTACAGGCCTGGCATTACCTACATTGTGGTCCAGAAACGTCACCATACTCGTCTCTTCTGCTCTGACAAAGCTGAGAGGGTTAGCAGTTTACCCAGATGTGTGCATTTAAGGGATATCTATTGATCAATCTGTTCCCGAAGTCTGACTTTCTTACCCCTTGCAGGTTGGGAAGAGTGGTAACGTTCCAGCTGGCACCACAGTGGACAGCACCATCACACACCCGTCCGAATTTGATTTCTACCTGTGCAGCCATGCTGGGATCCAGGTGAGCTTACATGATGATAAAGGAAATTGAGTCCAGGTTATTAACTTTTTGCAGTGGAATAGCTTCCAGAGCATTGGGAGGGTGGACAAAGATTAGAGCAACAAACAGATTCCAGGCAAATCGGCGGTCGTGAGTGAGCTGGAATAGAGCAGGAAGTCATTTCATGAAGTTGTAATGCAGTATTGACATTGTTGCATTGCTTTCTCTTTCAGGGAACCAGTCGCCCCTCCCACTACCACGTCTTGTGGGATGACAACTGTTTCACGGCCGATGAACTGCAGCTCCTTACCTACCAGCTGTGCCACACCTATGTTCGCTGCACACGCTCAGTTTCCATCCCGGCCCCAGCCTACTATGCCAGGTTGGTGGCTTTCCGAGCCCGCTACCACCTGGTGGACAAAGACCATGACAGGTAAGGGAGCCTCGTATGTAACTACAACAATGTCATTATCAGATAAAACATAAATGAGTGTTTAAGATGTTTCTAAAACCATTCAAATTAACCACATTGTTTAAGTTCTAATGTAAAACTTTTTTTTATTTATTTTTTATTGGTTTTTAATATAGAAGTCTGTGCATCAACTCACTTTAACCTATTAGTTTAAAACTCTAAAGCACCTAAAAGCTAAATTATTAAATGGCTTTCTAATCGGTATTGATGGTACAGAAAGGAAAACCGTACTGACACTACTTTTTTGTCTTGCAGCGCCGAAGGCAGCCACGTCTCAGGCCAGAGTAATGGCCGAGACCCCCAGGCATTGGCAAAGGCAGTTCAAATCCACTATGATACCCAGCACACCATGTACTTTGCCTGAACTAGCCTGTCAGCCAGTCCACTTGTGGATCTACCCCATATATATATATATATATTTTTTTCTTTTTAAATCCATCTGCCCCATTCCCCGTTTTCCTTCTTCCCTCTCTCCTTGTAGTCTTTTCTTCATACTCACTCTACATTTTCTGAATCTGCACCAAAGCGGCTCGTGGAGGGGGATTCATCTACATCCCAACGTCCAGCAGGCTCTGTTTCATGGAACAATTTCCAACCAGCGTTCCCAATCGAGCCGCCCTTTTAACCAGCAATCCAGCACTGCGAACCCACAGGGGTTTACAATGCACAAAAGAGAAAAACGCGAAAAAACAAAAACAAACCATACACACATCTACGAGTTGAGCCATTATTTTGCGTTTGTTTTTGTTTTTTCTATTTGAATGTCTGTACTCATGTGTTTGTAAGATACACTGAGCGAGAGAGTGGGCAGGCGCAAACTGTCTGCACAGCTCTTTAGCTCTCCCAGCTAAGCAGGACTCTTATCTACTTTTACCTCAAAGCCCTTTTGGGCAAAATCTGTCACAAGGTCTTGGGTTTATCGGGTGGTGGGGAGGGAGCTCTACATGAACAGAGATGGAGGGGGGTTGACCTTTTGAGAATGATATCTATATATATTTTCCTTTTTATGAGCGTGTGTTTTAACTTTTTCTCCTTTTTCGGTCTTTTACAAGCGAGGTGACCTGGGTGTCCATACCCATTGCGACTTTCCTCCCATCTTAGCGAAGAATACGCAAGTCTGTGTGTGTGTGCGTGCATCTCTGTATATACATTTACTGCTGTATGAGAGTGTTTGTGTGTGTGTGTGTGTGTTTCATGGCAGGCCACTGAATTGTAAAGGGAAATCAAGGAGATAACTGCTGTAAATGCCTCAGATTTGTTGTTTTTTATATTCACACATACAGTACATATAAGCATATATTTACATCTATAGAGCAACTTTGAGACATATGACTTAAACAGGCCTCATAGAGGCACGTGTGGGTATTTATAGCAGTCCTGGGTCACTTATTAAATGAAATGCTTTATTACATTTAGAGTGGTTGTGTTAGCCTGCTGCTAGCACAGGCTGGATAGGGATTTGCACCTTTGGGAGACGGCTGCTTTCTTGTGCCTCTAAACATCCTTGAATCCCAGAGTCCATTTCAAGTAGTAACTGAAGCCAGGACTGATGTGTAGCAGTAGCAACCATGGTCTGGCCTGTGACTGGTTCAGCATTGGGACCTGTTTAAAAAGCTGAAGGCATTAAACACAGTATGTTTTTATCAGTCTTGCTTTCTGTGTGAAAAGTGGTATCCAATTTTTAAAACTTTTGGGCCTGGTTTTTAAGAAGGGTTATGACACTGCTGGACATTTTTAAATTTGTTTTCAAGGAACCTGGAACCAACTTAATTTTGATTTTTAAGGTCTCCTTTGCTAATGTTGGCCAATTCATTGCACTGACCAGGGATGCTAAGCAGGAACCAGAGGGCACTGTCAATCTCTTACCTTTATGCATTTATACATACGAATCAACAAAGCAGATTTGTAAAAGTTTAATATAAGATGTTTTGTGGTTATCTTAAACTGTTTTAGACCTAGTAGTTTACTGTTGTTGTTCTCGTTGTTGTCACTGTTGTTACTATTGTGATCAAATTTTTAAGGTCGGCAGCGAAGCCAGTTATATAGCTACTAGTGTGATTTCAGGAATAGACTTCAGTTGTTGAGCTGCAGGTTGAGGGGTTGAGTTTTCAGATTGGAATTTCTTTCTTTTTTTTTCTTTTTTTTTTCTTTTTTTGTAGCATTCTGGTGAGAGGTAGTTCTCAGGATGGATGAATTCGCGCCTCTTCTGCAGGTTCTGATGTAACGGTGGCCGACTAGTTGTCTTGTAGCAGTCAGACTGGTGTAACAGGTCTGCCATGGTGGTGTACGTCCCGCACTGGGTGTTGGCTGGTTTTGATCCGATAGATGGAGACAATCGGGAAATGTTGTTATGGTAGGCAATGAATTGAATTGTTTGTTTGTTTGTTTGTTTGTTTTTTTAAAACAATTTTACTCGGCGTGTATGTCAGTTATATCCATCTTACAATTCTCTATTTAACAGTATTTTTTGTGCTTTTTATGCATTTCAACACTGGATTAAATTGACGGTAAATAGAAGCGCTGCCCTTGGGAACCCCCTCCCCCCCTGCCCTCCCTTTTTTAACATGGAAACTAATGGTGACAGACGTACAATTGGCTCCCCCTAATGTTGCTTTTGGATAATAATGCAGGACAGCAGGCTTTGGGAGAAATGTGCACGCCTCATCGAGAGGGACAGCTCAGTGAAAACCCTTTTGTAATAAACCACCCGTAAAGCAGCAGGTTTACTATGAATGAGTTTGGGCTCCGTCTTGATGTGGGCGTGGGCATCAAGTGGAGAAGCAGGAAATGAGTAGCAGAAGGGGGACTGGGGAGGATGTTTTCCAGGCGTTGCTTGCAATAAGTTTTAAATGATGCAGATTAGTTTTTACAGTGTGCAGTTCTGTTAGCAGATTTGATTAAATATTCATCTGGGATCTCCAAGGGGGAATGTTTAAATCACAATATTTGGTCATTAAAATCCAGTCAGATAAAGGCTCACTCCCTGTTTATAAATATTACAAAGCAATATTAACCCAAGTTTTCAAATATGGTTAAAAACAAAGATATAATTCTACTCATTGTGATTGTTGGTCACTCGCTATAAAATCTCTGTATTTTATTTTTTTTAATTTTACTTTTATTTTTTATTTTTTTGTAAACATGATTTGCTTGTATCAATCAGTGGGAATGTGCATTCGGTGGAGTAGTTGTGTAGGCTTTAGACTTTCTTTCAAGTAACAAAATGTAGACTTTGCTCGCCTGCATGCCAGAGTATTGTCCTTTAAAAAAAACAAAACGACAAAAAACAAAAAAACTGAAAACCTTTTTGGAGTCATATTTATTATGAGAGAAAAAAATATAAACTTCCTTTTTTTTGGGGCGGGGTAAATGTTTATCAATTTAGTGGGACTGTTTTAGGCTAGCAATATTTGTCTGTCTCTCTTTAAGATGTATTTTAAAGATTCCTACACAAATGTCAGTAATTTGGGAGGTACAAGCTGTTTTTTGAGGTGAGGGCTTCTGCGCTTTGCGTCGTGTTCCAAATCAAACGAGGTACTTTCTTCAAACGTGGACCCGTTAAAGACCGAACTCCTTTCCTCTGAGCCAGGTTACTGTAGAGAGCATCCATTTCGTCTTCTCGCTCCTGGTTTGTACCTATTGCCACGCCTATTGGTGGGCGCTCTCCTGTTTCCATGGCAACTCCGCTGACCCTTCACAGATATACTTCCTCTTTTGTGTAGAGGTCCCCAAGGCATTGACGGAGCAGGATTACCTCTTTTTAACCTTTTTAAAACAAGATCCATAATTCTTTCTGTGCCCCAATGGAAAGAGCATGAATTATTTTTAAATTCCTCTCACTTTGATATATTATATCTTGACAGATTTGTAATTTGACATTGTGTATTATGTCTTTTTCCCCCTTTTTTTGTTACCCTTTTTCCCACTTTTTTTTTCTTTTTTAGGTTTGTTATAGCTCTGCTTTATTTTTTTATTTTTATTTTTTCCTGCTAGTGGTCTCTGAAACTGTGTCTAATAGCAATAGAATCACAGAATCTGAGCGATCTGATTCTGGGAATCTGGTGGTTCAGATTCTGTGAATGAACGGAATCCTTTAAGTTGTCAAGCGGCAGGGTTCGTTCTGTCCCTGCCCTCAGAAGGCCATTCACTTGCTGTTATTGCTATTATGTGACATGTTGAATTGGTTTTTGTTGTTTTTGTTCGCCTGCAGGGAATTCTTGTGTTAATGTGCAAAGTAATAAATGGGTATTTCATGCCTATAACATAACTGTGTGCACTCATCATTGACATTTAGCCTGTAATATTGATTAAAAGGGCGGCACGGTGGTTAGCACTGTTGCCTCACAGCAAGAAGGTCCTGAGTTCAATTCCACCATCAGGCCGGGGTCTTTCTGTGTGGAGTTTGCATGTTCTCCCCGTGTTTGCGTGGGTTCTCTCCGGGTACTCCGGCTTCCTCCCACCGTCCAAAGACATGCAGCTTGTGGGGATAGGTTAATTGGATAATCCAAATTGTCACTAGGTGTGAATGTGCGAGTGAGTGTGAATGGTTGTCTGTCCCTATGTGTTAGCCCTGCGACAGACTGGCGACCTGTCCAGGGTGTACCCCGCCTTTCGCCCTATGACAGCTGGGATAGGCTCCAGCGCCCCCCGCGACCCTGAAAAGGATAAGCGGAAGCGAATGGATGGATGGATGGATGGATATTGATTAAAAGGTGGATTTATGCCCACACAGAGCTAGATCTGCACTTGACACCAAAGCCTACATATGCATTTATTGTCACTAGATGGCATTCTTTACCAAAGTAAATCAGATTACAGGATGATGGCACTTGGTAAAATATTAATGATGTAAGCTGTTCCTGTCCTTGGATGCAGCTGAATGGTGTAACAATATCAGATATATTCTGTCTGAAGTAGCCTGAAGAAATCTGAACACATTTAATTTTTTTTTTTTTTTTTTTTTTTTTTTTTTTTTTTTTTTTTTTGCTTTAGTAAAACAGGTGTTAAGTTAGTCCTGGCAAGAGTGTAGGGATGGGGTCCTGTATGTGAACAGTGACTTGAAATGTTAGTTGAGTACTTTTATAAAAAAAAAAAAAAAAAATTGGATATGTGGTTTTATTTTTTTATTTTTATTTTTTTAAATAGAATGCAGTTTTGGAAATTGAAAGTTTAAGCATGTAGTGCAAGTAATGGGATAAATTTTTATTTTTCCTCAACAAAAAACCCAAACAAAATACATGCTGTACAATACAGAAAAGGATCCAAAAATTAATGGAAATTGTTGTGGGGGCATATTTAACAGTATAAGTAGGATATTTTCTCTTAATGATTTCATTGTCAAAAAATGTGACGCTTTGTCCTTTATTGTAAATACAGTTGTTTTTTTTTTAACTATAAAACCTTTAACTACAAACTTAACTATATTTTATATTCATTATACATGATGCAAGCATTATCATGACTTTTTTTGTTGTTGTGATGACCATGCCTATAGCTCATGAAAATCAGAAAGCCAGTTTAAATTTAAAGAACAAACTATTCACATAAATGTTTGTCTTGGTATGCAGACCTTGGTCAATACCTGCAAACACAATCAGAGGGAAGACTGCTTATTTGATGGTTGTTTAGTTGTCTATCATTGTTCTCTAATAGGAGGATAAGGCACAGGTCTTGCTGAAAAGGCTGGCTGTATGGAGGTGTGTAAATAATAAAGTTGGCTGAAGGGAAAAGTATGAGGGAGACAGAGCAGGGCCACAGACTTGAGAGGACTGTCAGGAAAAGTTGACTCAAGAACTTCACAAGGAGTGAACGGAGGCTGGTGTCAAGTGTATATAGACGTCTTCATAACAGGCAGTATAACTGTTGCTTTACTACTGCTGTCAAACCACCCTGAACCAGACACTTTAGAAGTGTCTTGTGGTAAGTGGAAAAAGAAGTGGACTACTGCTCTGTGGTCCTCTTTTCAGATAAAAGTACGTTTTGAACTACATTTGGAAATCAAGTCCTTTTCAAATAATAATGGATTGCATTTATATGGCGCTTTTCGAGACCCTCAAAGTGCTTTATAGTTCCACTATTCATTCACTCACACATTCACACACTGGTGGAGGCAGCTACAGTTGTAGCCACAGCTGCCCTGGGACAGACTGACAGAAGCGAGGCTGCCATATCGCACCATGGGCTTCTCTGGCCAACACCAGAAGGCAGTAGGTGAAGTGTCTTGCCCAAGGACACAACAACCAAGACTGTCCGAGCCGGGGCTCAAACCGGCAACCTTCCGATTACAAGACAAACTGCCAACTCTTGAGCCACGATCGCCCACACTTTTCTGGTGGAAAAGTGGAGAGTGTGGTCTGTGTATCAAGTGCTGGTGGGTTTTGATGGTTGATTGGTCCACTGTTTTATCAAAAAGTCAATGCAGTTGTCTACCAGGAGATTTTATAGCACTTTATGCTTCCACCTGCTGTCAAGCTTTATGGGAATGCTCATTTCCTTTTCCAGCAGGACCTAGCACTGCCCACAGTGACAACTATTATAAATCTCAAGTTATGGCAGCTATCAAATCAACCTTCAACAACTCCTTAGCAGGCTTAAAAGGCATGCAATGAATAAAGACTATATCAGTGTTTCCCTTTTTGAAGACAATTGTTGAAAGAATTAAACTTTTTCATGCTATTCAGATTTTTTTTTAAAGATGCATTACTATATACTGAAAAAACAACAACACAACATTTACTAAGAAGGAACTGGTCAAATAACCAGGTGGCTGCCTGTTATATTTGTGCACCTCAGGTAAAGAGGTCAGCAGTCAGCAAATGCAACCTGTAACGCAAGCAATCAACCTGGGATAGTGAATTGGTTGCTTATAAAGTCCCAAGCTAGGACTTGAAGCATTCCACCATTAAACCATATTTTAAAAATTTAAGCTCTAAAGTATTTGTCTTTCCTATGTGTATTTAAGATTAAGTTTAGAGTAATTTCACTGCCGCCTGCTCCCTTAAAGGAAAACTCAAACACACACATCTGTCTGTTTATCTGTTCACTGTGACGCGCCATTAGCGATATGTGCCACCTTCCTCTGCCCCCCTTTGTGTATCATCTGTCTCCGCTGCATTTCCTGTGTCCCGGCTGGTTGTCATGACCACTGTTACCAAGGCGAGCAGAGGCTACAGAAGAAAGGAAACCTGAACCACAGATCTTGATGCCACGATATTTAATTCATCAGCACAACACACCACTAAGGCCAAATGCAGAGGGAATAAGGATTCTTTCTTGGGTGGAAAATATGTTGAAATGAAAACAAAGACCTGCTGTCAGATCCTTCTGTTACACTGCCCCCAGCTATTTATGTGCCAAACAATTCACCATAATAACTGCAGTTGGTATTTCAGCTTGTTAATGTTTCAGTAGTCTGTGTCTATCTAACTGAAAAACATGAAAGTGTTCAGTAAGAAATTGCAGTTAAGTGAATTTGAAAATAAACCCCAAACAAATTGTGATCTCTTATTTATTTATTTATTTTTTGTGTAGCCTCACAACATTTTATCCACAGTCAAAAAAATCAAACCATGAAAAGCTGCTTCGCCCTTTCGCTGCAGACAAAAAGAGGCAAGTGAAAGCTATTTTTGTGTTGTCTTCTTTAAAATTCACGTAATTACGTGTGGTATGGAGCAATAGAGTTTGTAATCCCCATTGTAGGAGCCCACTCCATGTTGTCTTTGTGTTAGCTGATCCACCTACAGACACCGCTCCATCCTGAGTTTGCCCATGCCTCCCTCCCTTTTGTTGTCTCACCCTCTTTCGCCCTCTCCCTCCCACTCGCCTGTTTTATTGTGGTTTTTTTTTTGTGGGGTTCAGTGGTGCTTTCCACAGGTTGGATATCAGAGGGGATGAAGGTAAGGGGGAGGGATCTTATGCTCTACTTACCCAGAAGTCTGACTTTGCAGGCCTGATTTCTTATTTATACCCTTGTTAGATCTGGACTGACCCATCTGGGCTGCACTGCTACTAAAGGAAGTGGTTGAGGGAGGGTGAAGCTGTGCAGCAGCTGAAGCCTGAAGTGGCCTCATCAAGGCTTGGACCCCAGCGCCATATATTGTCAGTTAAGAGACACTTCAGCTGGCAACAGCAGCGGTGTCTGAAGATAAATTCTGCAGGTTGTTTTCTACAGGAAAGCTGTTCTTTCAGAGGACGAAGACTACAAAAACCCGTTGCTTTGAGGCTTAATGTGGATTTGGGATTCTTTGGAGGAAAAAGGAGGCTGGAGTACCCTCTTTAGGTTGATCACGGTTCATATTTTGTCCATCCTTCTGGAAGCATAAGGAGTAGAAACTGGCTTTCGATGACCAGGAGGTAAAAAGCTACGCTGTTTTATTCTGTGTAATTGAGAGTCACTATATTCAACCTCCTGTGAAAGGATACACTCATAGCATCATCAGTAGCCTCGGATCCAGGTATCAGGTTATATCAGTCTGATCCATCTAGGTAAGGCTACACCAAAACCAAGAGTGACACTGAAGTAAACAACAGCTCAGGAGTCCCGAGTTCAAGGAAAAAAGAAGCACTTCCACTGAAAAGAAAAGAAAAACTCCTGGCAGAGATCTCTCTTCCACCGGTCCTGCATTATAAAGCCTGATTGATCCCACATCTGCAGGCTGCCACAGGTGGCTGCACAGGTATTGGCTACTCAATAATGCACCGACTCAAACTTGAAAAGGAGGAGAAAGTGCGCGAGCCTCTGATCCCCTGAAAAGCTGGGTGTCTGTTGAGGGAAAGCAAGCGATTACTTCTGGATAACGCAGCGCACTGAGACGCGTGGAAGTGGAAACTGTGAGCAGATGTTGAGAAGGAAAAGAAAAAGAGAAGAACATGACTTTGACAAAGTGACATTAGGGCAAAGACCATAAGACGCTTGGCCAAACAACAAAAGGAAAACAGAAGAACACTTAAATAAAAAACAACTTGGAAGACTGATAATAAAGAAAAGATCTTGTCAAAGAAGCTAAAGACAGAGAACAAATTAAACATTAAGAAGTAGCTTCACATCCAGTTTTTTCATCATGGTGAACACCGGGATGCAGCTGATCAGCTTCACCTGTGCGGTGACCGGCTGGATCATGGCGATCGCTGTCACAGCCTTGCCTCAGTGGAAGGTCTCAGCCTTCATAGGCAGCAACATCCTGACCTCAGAGATCAAGTGGGAAGGGATCTGGATGAACTGCATTTACCAGACCACGGGTCACATGCAGTGTAAGACTTATGACTCCATGCTGGCTTTGCCTCCCGACATCCAGGCAGCCCGTGCTCTTATGTGTCTGGCCATCTTCATGGGCTGGCTCTCCTGCACCGTGTCCTGCTGCGGCATGAAGTGCACCACTTGTGCCGGGGATGATCGCCAGGCCAAGGCGGGTATAGCGCTCTCAGGTGGAGTTCTCTTCATTTTGACAGGCCTGTGCGTATTAATTCCAGTTTCCTGGACTGCCAATACAGTCATCCAGGATTTCTACAACCCCAACGTACCTGTGATGTACAAAAGAGAGCTGGGCCAGGCTATTTATTTGGGCTGGGCGGCTGCGGTTATTCTCATGATCAGCGGAGCTGTGTTGAGCAGCACCTGCCCGCTCATGGAGAGGGGCGGCAGGTACCGGAGGGGCTACATAGGGCGGAGTTTTGCAAATTCACCTGCTACAGCACCAGATTTCCCAAAGCCTATCACTTCTAATAATTTACCACTGAAGGAGTATGTGTAGGAAAGGAAGAAGGACAGAAGAGCTGATACTCTTAAAAATGGTACAAAGATCATGAATTTTAAGGTATAAATTCAAACATATATTTATGAATACGTATTTTGTATATCTCTTTGTCATGTTTGTCTTCAGTACATTGAGATTTGATGTTTTCTGTTCTCTGAGTCATAGCAGTGCCTGAAGAAAGCCTTTAGTCTTTGCTGTAACAGTATGACTTGATGATGGCTTTAATGATGGCTTGTGTTTTGAGGATTGCAGTGATTACTTAAGTCAGAAAATTGTGAAATTAAAAAAAAAAAATCTGGCAAAGTGTGCTTAAAGTATTTTGAAGTAGTCGCTTTTCTTTGTGTGCTGGACTTTTGTTCTATTTAGGGTCACTCTGTCGACATGCATATGACAAACCCAAAAAAAGTACAGACATTCTGCATTTAAGTAGAAGTACACCTACTAGTGTTGAAAAAAAAAAAACTCCTGTAAAAGTTAAAGCACCAATTAAACTTCTAAAAGTGAAAAAGTACCAGCTCTGAAATGTATTTAAAGTAAAAAGGTAAAAAAAGTAAGTTGTAAGTTGTTAAGCCGTACCTTACTAAAACCACTAAATTAAGTGCTATATACTCATGGGAATGTACATGTATTAATTTGGTGATGCAGAAAACATATACATTTTGTTATACTTGATATTATTCTGCTCTTGAGTCTCTTTTACACTGCTAGTTTTGTAGCTAATAAAACAGCACACACACCAAGAATTTCTGTTCAATCAATACATTTAATTTCACTTTCACCTGCTGAAAAACTATAATGATTTCATTAGGATGTGGGACAATAACATTTAATTTTTAAATGAATCCATTTTAAAGTCTCAGAGCTCTGATGTGCAGCCGTCACCTTAGAAATGAACAGCATGAGTTGTGAGTTATGGCTCAATGCATTAAGGGAGCACTAGGCCATACAATAATTAATAATTCATGTAAATCTCACAATTAACTATTTTCAGCAGCAATAATTTTTGGTCTTATTTTTAAAACTATTGCTTTTACCTTATTTTTATCTTCCTTATAAATTTTATTTTTAATCACCATTTTAACATCATCTTCATCCGTTAAAGTCTCTGGAGTAGGCCACACTCATAGGGATTATTTTGTACTGAAGAAGAGTCACATGACCCCGGAACCAGAGATAACCATTATTTCCAAGTGGAGTTTTAGATTTGTCGAGCCACCAATCCTTGCTGACCTCTCAGGTCTATTTAGCCTCTGACTAAAGTAAAACCCATCCCTAACACTAATCTTAGGTTTATAAGACCTTTAAAAACGAAATTTAAGACCAAACTTGTGAGAGAACTACACAGTGAAAGAGAAGTTCATGTAAGAATGAGCAGTACTACTTGCACTATTGTATTTGAACTAGGTTAACTATTATTTGGACACCTGCTGATATACTCTTCTGAGCATGTTCTAAAAATAATGAGGCCTTGAAGATGCAGTTCTGTTGTGCAATAAATATATAGATGTATTTGTGCTCAAAATTCTCATACGTACTGGATTAAACATTTCAATCCATCCAAACTGAATTCAAGATAAATCAATATTTTACATTGGCCCCATTATTTGTAAATACTTATTTGTAGTTTTTAGGCCACCCTGGTTTCCCTTCAAAATAGATCTAGAAGCAGTTTAAGTCCACTCATCCATTTTTAATTGCTGATCCTATCTGGGCTTAAAAGTTCATCAGGGAAGACAGAACTATTTATACTTTCACATCCAGGCATCCAATTTACATACAAGTTTGTGTTTTTGGACTGTGAGAAGAAGCCAATGGAACCCCTGCAGGCTCAGGAATAACATGCAAGCTCCACACAAAAACCAACAGCTGACCAGGAGGTTTGAACCAGGAGCTTTCACTGCACCATTGTCCTCCAAGCGACGTTTGTGTGCATCAGTTCAAGTCAATGTGGAGTTAGATTCAGTCATTCTTGTGGTTCTCTTTCTTCTCATTGTCTTCATTAAAATGCAGTTATATTCACGATTAGGTAAGTCCTTAACAATCTTCACTGCGACTCCACAAAGAAAGACACTTTGCAAAGTGTATCTGAAAAGAAAAGAGAGAAAGATAATTCGTTTAATAAATAACAGTCACTTCTAGATCCATCAGAGCACTGGTCTCTGGCCAATGTATACTCAATTATTAAAAGTGAAATTATATCAAGTTAAATTTTGCTACTTGAGCTGAATTTTAAAAGTGTTATGAATACTGGCCATAAAGGTAGGTCCCTTTATGATTGATTATAAGTGACAGAAAAAGAATATTTAAAGACGCCCTGTAGTGTAACGGGAAAAAAGATTAAGTTTAAAGCCGTGACATAATATTTCCCGAATTATGTTTTTACAGTTGTTTTCTAATCTATTGTTTTCAAATCTTTACATGACTTTAGATATATGCTAGACGACAGTCTGTCAGTACTTGTGTTGTTCTGGATTTAAGTACATTTATAAACATCTTCAGCTTCTTTCTATGTTGAAAGAACTAGTCCATCATACAGCATTAATTACAGATGTGAACTGAATGGTATAGTGAAGTACAGGTCATATAATCTAAGGAGCTTGGAAAGAAAAGTTAAGTTGCTTGAAGACGTTTCACCTCTCATCCGAGAAGCTTCTTCAGTTCTAAGGGTCAAATGGTGGAGAGTCCCAGATTTAAACCCAGTGGGAGTATCCCCTCAAAGAGGGGCAAAGCAACTTAAAGAAGTCCAGACGCTTTTCTTTCCAAGCTACTTAGACTACAATGAAGTGGATAACTGAGAACCTTCACAGACATACTAGTAATATACATTTTACCTGTGATGTGGTCCTCAGCACTGGGAGACTCCAAGGAGTTCCACCTTTGGGGAGCAGATTCCAGAAGAGAGAGGTCATCTGCTCTCAGTGTTTGAAGCAGAGTTTTCCTCCTCAGGAATCTGAACACAAGAGTTGAGGGGAAAAAAATACCAGTATATAACATAAACATCCAAAACTGAAGAGAGAAAAGGATACTGTTGCCGATAGTGACGCTCAGCATCCTGAAGCCACTCGAGCATGTCAGCAACCGACGGGGTGGTGGTTGATCGCTCAGTTACTGCAAGCAGATCTAAACTGTGTGCGTTCTGCTCGTACAGATGAAGGATTGAAGCAACCTGGTTACTGATAGCATCCCTCGCAGACTGGAGGGAAGACCTGAAAGAAAGAGGAAAGGAAAGAAGGGAGTGTGAGATAAAAATTATAGTATAATATATACTTTAAGCATACTCTGAGCAGCTTCTGCAAACTGGTACTAATAAGGTTCTTCTCCAAAGATCCATTTACTTACTAAAAAAATAAACTGATCTTTATTACTAAAAAGGATGTAGCTGTACTCCTGTCCGATCAAACATACATAGTTGGATGTGAATACCAATAACGCAGCATCCTCATCAGATATAAAAGCCGATTTACTCACATCTTCTCGTTGAGTTTTCCCAGCACTATATCCGTTGCTTCAAGGAGCTTAAAGCGGAGTCTCTCCTCCAGGTCAGGAAAACCTCTGAGCGGTGTGTTGGAGATCTGCACGTTGGACAGTGCTCTCGACTGCTCCGCCAAATTCCCGAGAGACACCATCAGAGGGCTGCACTCGGCTAAAACACTCTTCCATACTTTTTGGTTGCTTTCAAGTGTCGCGAAGCTTTTCCTCAGAGCCTGATGAAGCGTAGCTACCGCAAGCGTGGGCATTTCAGCAAACGATTTCAGTACTTAGATGTTCAAAGGGAAAAATACGAAATACATTAAGTCAGCTTTATGTCTTATTTTCCATGAAGGCGACTTTATGAAAAACGACTTTTAAATGATTCTTCCCGCAGCTACAGAACATCACATTTCTACCATGTTGCCTGAACCACTTCCGTTCTCTTGATGTAAACACTGACGTTCGGCGCTACGATAGGCTGAAAACAAAGTTGTTGCGACGCATGGCACATGCGCGTCCTAATTGGCTGATCTGGTGTGTTGGCCCCTCCCCGCGCGAAGATTTGAAAACGGCTTTGTGAAGGAAGGAAGGCGAGTGTCGAGGACGAACAGGAAAAACACATTTAGGTAATTATATATACTTTAAAAAAATGTATGTAAATACATCTCGGGACAGTTATTTAAAAGACCATAATACATATTGGTAGATGTAAGCACAGCTGTCGAAAATAAGATCAGAAAATAAGCGTTAACTCAGCTAAAGCTACTCGCAAACGTTAGCTTCACCAACAGTTAGCCGCATGTAGGCTGATTTTTTGTTTTTGCTTTCTTTTGTTCCCGATTAAGGCCACAATGTTAACATTTCATGGTGTCTATGGGGTGTTAATATACCACACTATACTGCACTACACTGTACTGTACTAGGGTATATTGTAATTACTAATATACTCCGTGTCCGTCAGAAATGGCTCCCAGGAAAAGGACCACCAAACAACGCAAGAATAACCCCAAGACGGCAAAACTGGAAGCTTTTTTGGAGGATTTTGACAGCGAGGGTGATTATTATTACAATTTTTTAACTCACCATAGAAATGCTACAGAAATACTCCCTGATCTTTTTTCGGTTGCTCACTTTAGGAGTCGCCACAGGAGAACATTTTCTTCCAGCTCACTATATCCTTAGCATCCTCCTCTGTCTCACCAACCCTCTGAGCGTCCTCCTTCACTGCATCCATGAACCTTTTCTACTTTTCCTCCAGCTTTGGAGCTCAATATTCAACATAATTTGTCCAGTATTTCCACTGCCCCCCCTTTGCACATGTTTATGACATCTGAGCCCTGCCTCTCTAACTTTGTCTCCAAACCACTCAACTTCAACCATCCTTCACATGTACTAATTTCTAATCTGTCCTTTCTGGTCACTACCAATGGAAATCTTGCCTTCACTCTTGCTGCTAACCTACTGCTACAAATCACCACTGATGCTAACATCCATCCACCCCACCCTGACACTGTATAACTTAAGCTGAAGTGACAATGTATAACTGAAGCGGAACTCAACATTTGTGTTTCTGCAGTGAAGACTAGAGTTGGACAGGTGAAAGAGAAGATAAACCAGCTGTTGAAAGATGTTGACAACAGCTACAACATGGCAATAATTAAGCTCCCCAAGGCTGTCAGACAAATGAACTGGTTGGAGCATTGGAGTAAGTATACATAGATTATTGACTAACAAATCCCAAATCTATAAAGAAGAAATGCTCTTGAGCCACAGAGACTTTTACAGCATTCTGCTTCCTATTTTTAAAAAAGCTAATGGTACATTTTCAAAAATCTGTGCATTTGATCTTGAATGAATTTCATTTTTAAACAGCATTAAATAAAGAATATTTACATCTCTGCAGAGTCTGAGAAACCACAAACACCAGAACTCGATAATGCAAAGGTCAGTTGATTAGCCTTCTCAAATTATACTTAATATACGTTAAGTATATATAAGTTTCATGCTTGTGCAAGGATGCTCTGTTCTGCATAAACACTCAGTTATATTTGCTTTTATAGAGAAAAGAGGAAGCTGCACTCGTGGAAAGTGTTGTGGCTAAGGATCATACATCTCTCCTAAAAACAATTGAGAAAAGTGAGTTAAAAGTAGTTTATACATTTCCCTTGAAACAAGAAAACCATTTCCCTTTAGCCAATGCAATTTGTTTTGTCCAATCCACAGCATTAAAGAAGAAAGGTGGGGCTACATTGAGCTCTGAGGATGAAAACGTCCCAAGCACAACAAAAAAGGTAATGACTGCTTTTCACACAGTCATACATGAGAGCAACTACATACAGCTGTTGTTATGCAGGATTCTCTGTTTGCTTCTTTTGTGGTGTTTTAAATGCTTGTTTATAATTTAGGGGAGAACCACCAGAAAGCCCCCGACTAAAACAAAGAGGGCAAAGGCGCTGTCAATCAGCAAGCAGAGCTCCACCATCAGACGGTAAGCTCTTTTACTTTTTGTATTGTTCTTTTTCTTTCTTTCTTTTCTTCTTCTTTCCTCCCATGCTAAACACTTTTGGAAGCAAGTTTGGTGGCTAACAAATGTGATGGTAACACATTGTCATTGTTTGGATTCAGATCAAACAGGAACCCCCTGATTACTCCTGCCAGAAGCTTGCTGGATTCTTCTGTGATGATGGGACCCACTCCTCTTATTACCCCCCGCTTTGACCCAAGGTACACCTTAGAATTATACTGTGTCACTCTAAAGATGGTGTTTCTGTCAATGGCAATTAGTGTTCTAGTTGATTGAGAGGGGAGAAAACGTATTTATAAAACAGTTTAAAAAAGGATTCAAAATTGAGCACAGATGAAGACGGGTCGGATTTATATTGTGCATAAGATACTAGACTCACATACTGGTCAGGTTAGTTTGCTGTGTGTGGATAACATTAGCAGTGCACCAGTCATCCTCACAGGTTGACATCTACACCTGTGCTGAATGTGGTTATTCAGTGCAGCTTACTGAAGACTTCTGCATTGTTATGTCTTTATATTCAGTGATTTATTACTGAGACATAGTACTGAGATATTTTTACTAGCACAAATTCATTTACAGTTCATGCTGAATAGATAGTGATTCTGTGAAAACATGGGCAAACAGACAAACAAATGCTCAAAGTATTGTATTAAAGCTCAGGCTTCTCGTTAAAGCAAAATCTCTGCTCTCATAGAGCTGTAAGTGGATCTAGTGTCTTTGAGTGTTAGAAAGTGTGTGGGGACTGGAGACTTGCTGTAATCTGGCAGCCCCTGCTATTTACTCTGTAATGTTGACATTTCCTACAAAGAAGGCTTCATATTACTCACTACACCTCAGGCTTCCCAAGACCCCCGCAGTGAGAGTTCCCCGCCACAAGGAGAGGGTCTATAGCATTTCAGTCAACGGCTCTCCCATTGCAGCAGGAAATGAGGATATTGTCATCAATGTTCCCGTTGGGAATGGAGAGGTGAGTGCACATTTAGTCAGGCTCAGAGCTTCAGGTACTATTGATCAGTCAGTTGTTTAAGAAATGATTTTAACAAGGCAGCAGAGGAAACGATGTTTACTGAAGAAATTTAGATGTCTATTTTCAGGAAGATAAAACATTGAATACTTTGTTATATATGGTTTATTGAAAATGAGCTTAAAGATGCATTAAATCGGCCTTCAAGTCTTCTGCTTTCATGTTGATTTTATACTGTGTTTATGTTGATGACTGTTTAGTTACATTTGATGACTTCATGGCTTTTGAGTAATTAATTGTCTAACAAAACTCTTGATTAGAAGGCTAATTCTCAAAAACTAAATCACTAACACAAGTGTCCTTAACATATTGATCCAGAGCATTCAACTGCTGGCCAGTCAGATGGACTCAGTAGATCTGTCACTGCTGGACGAAACCGCCATGAGGAGCATTCAGCAGCTGCAGGTAAAAATTCCAGCAGGACAGCGTTACTTGCAGTTTCATCAGCTTTTCGTCACTGTTTTGTTGCAGCTTTAGCCAAATTTTGATGTGAAATATTTGCATATGCTTTGATTCTCATCATTTCTTTTTATTTTTCCCAACAGAATCGACTCACAAAATTGTGTGGGTCATCAGAGTGACCAAACAGTCTGCCACGGACTTGTACTATACTTTTTTTTTTTTTAAACACAAGTTTTATCTCTATTTTAAAGCTTTCTTTTCTACAATGTGGCATGTTTTTTTTCTTCTTCTTTTTTTTTTGCCTTTATACAGATTATACTTTAACTAATACTTTAGGATACAGTCTAAGGTTAATATTTGTTGCGCTGGACACTGTTTTCTTGAGATCCTTCACATTCACTGGAATTAATCTAGGAGTTAAACTGTTCATTTCATTGTATTTACATTCTCCTAAATTATCTCTTTACTTAAAAAATGTAATTTTATGTAGTTTCAGATGCTTTTTTTGTTGCAGGGAAATTGGATAGATTTTAGTGCTATTCCAGTCTTTTATTCCTGGCCAGTCTGGATTTAATGGATCTTAATAGGACTTGCATGATAATATCCAATAGAAACATGCAGTATGTGCTTATCAGATACAACTTTCCCTTTTATTATTTTTTTTTATTTTTTATTTTTTTAAAAGTACATTTTTCTGATATTATTTGTGTGGTTTGTCATTGCTGCAATGAACCCCCTCCATGTTTCTATCACTAACCTTGTAGTTACATCAATCGTTAAAATATATACGTCGTGTACATCGTGCACTCTGTCTTCATAACTGTGTGATGTGGTTATTTTCTGGTTTATTGGGGTTTTGTATTCTTAAATATAGCATCAACTTTCATCATCATCATCAACTTTATTTATAAAGCACTTTAAAACACCACAGCTGACACAAAGTGCTGTACATTGGAACTGTAAAATAAAATTACATGAGATATAAATAAAAACCAAATAAAAGAAGAGTGAAATCATTAATTAAAAGAGAAACTAAGTCTCACTGAGGTTAAAAGCCAAGGAATAAAAGTGGGTTTTAAGACGTGATTTAAAAGTGGACAGTGAAGGGGCCTCTCTAACATGCATGGGCAAATTATTCCATAATTTTGGAGCCACAATAGAGAAGGCCCTGTCCCCTCTGAGCTTCCTCCTGGATCTCGGTACCTCCAGGAGCAGCTGGTCAGCTGACCTGAGAGACCGACAGGGTATGTGGGGATGAAGAAGCTCAGAGAGGTAAGGCGGGGCAAGACTGTGAAGGCATTTAAAAACAAACATAAGAATTTTAAAATTAACTCTAAAAGACACAGGCAGCCAGTGCAGAGAGGCTAGCACGGGGGTTATATGCTCTCTTTTTCGAGTTCCTGTTAGGAGTCGTGCAGCCGCATTTTGAACCAGCTGCAGACGTGAGAGCAATGACTGACTGACCCCCACATAAAGTGAGTTACAGTAGTCCAGGCGGGAAGAAATAA